AGATGATTCTATGATTCTATGATTCTATGATTCTAAGATTTGATCCTTTCAATAAAATATCAATAAAATAAAGCAGGGACCCAATACAACAATTAATTTATTTCTCACATTTTGGGATATTGCTTCATAAAGGAGACAGATTGGTAGGTCAGTTGGTAAAGATGGAACAGGGGACTGAACTTCGAAGGCCTCAGTTCAACACAATGTTGTCAGACAACTAATACACTCAGTCTTTGAGCTATGCGGAGTTCCATGGCTAGCTTGGGCTGATTTAAGACCGTGCTGCTGCCAAAGGAGCAACCTCCCCCCCTGCCCCAGCTTCCCAGCTCTATATGCTAACCTCAAGAGAAGGAATCTACTGGCAGCATCCCTTCTGTGCTTGTGCTGTGTTGGCTGCTTAAGCCTATCTGTGAAATCACCACCTCATTCACTTCCCTGGAAACTATTTGGAAGATTGCCTTCAGAGCAAAGTTGTGCAGGAAGCATTCAAAAAAGCTCCAAGACAGAATGCAGGATTCTTAAGAGAAAAATACTGAGACTCCTGTTGGGGAATCTTTGTGACACCTCTTGAGGCAAATTAAAAACACTTTTGTGCTTAAATATAAAAGAAAAATGTACAGAAGAATGCATTGGGCAGAGTCCTACCACAGTACATGGTTCTACATGGAGTCTGCAAAGATGCATCACGAGCAGATTCCTTATATACACTTGCACTAGCACCAATCCTAAGAGCATCAGCATGGGGCACCTCAGCCTGGCCACGGGTCCATCCCCCAGCCCAGCTCTGCTGCCCAAAGGTGGCCCCTGAGCTTGGGCCCCTGAGCGTTCCCATTCCAGGACTGCTACAAGACAATGCTGAGGCTGCTTCTTATCACCAAGGGAAACTGGATTCCCTTGCAAGGAGTCTGCCTCTGGCATTCCTCCTTCCAGCCAGTTTAACCTCTTCTTGCAGTTGGGCCTTCTTACTCTCCATGCCAGATCATTCCTCAGTCACAAATTACCACTGCTGAGCAGTCACAATGAGAATTTCCCCTTCACTCCTGATGGATATAAGTTCTCCTATCAATGAGTAAACATGCAGTAGGCACAATTGCCTTAGTCAACAAGAAGCCTCAAGATGATTCTGGCTTTGTGTCTGGACCTTCAAAATCTGCCTTAAAATCAGAGAGATCAGTGGAGGAAAAACCCGTACACAACCCCTCCTCAACAGCTGGGAGAAGGCAGACACAAGCAACTTCCAGCATGCTCCTGTATAGCTCTACATCATTTAAGACTGTCTTGTATTTTCAGGAAGTCCAAATACAACTGTGACCAGATATTGTGGATGGGTGTAGAAAATGGGATGTCTTTCCTGCATTCTGTGTTTTCTGGTCAGTCACTAAGGCAACTGTGACACAGTGTAGTCTAAAGGAAAAGGTTTTCTCTGAAGAATGGATAGTTCTCGGATGGAGATTCTGTAAGCTAAAACTGGGAAGTGACATAATGTAAAAATAAAGCAATATACAGCATGCATTGGTGATCTCACTGGTATGCTTACAAATGGCTGCAATTCTTAACTGCTGGGTATGGTACCAACTGGTACCTTTGCTAAAATGTCTTTACTAACAACCCTAATTTGTGGATTGCCACTGATGAGGTCGGTACTGATTTTAATGGTGTGGCTTTTTCTTACTGCTAGAAACTTGCTTTCTTATCATTTGCTTTGCAATATACCTTACAGCTCTCAAGTAGTTAGCATCAGTTGCTCAAGCAGATGAAATCTGAATCTCATAGTTCTTGACGGGCTAATCCTTACTGAGAGATATGCACCCTGAACTTTTACTAGGAATGCAAGTCTCCCTCCCCACACAGAAGTTTTGTTAATGGAGCCATGTAACAGCTCAGATTTAGAAAATATCTTTGTGGGGCAGGGCTGTCAGTTTGGCTCAGGGCAACATGTGTTTTACAAGGTGAACATTTTGCTGTCATGTTCTTTTCATGTACGTTGCAAGAAGGGAGGATGAAGAGGCATCCGCCATGAGACACATCCAAACAAGTGATGTAAAATCGCATTTAGACTGAGTCTGAAGTTCGAAGAGTAGTAACAGATCAGACAGACACTTGCCATGCTGTAACTCGCTGCTGTGGGAACGCCATGGGCAGGTGTCAGCTGCTCCCCCTAAAGCCCTTGCAGAGAAGTATAAGCCTTGAAATATATGTGCTGCCCAAAAGACTTTGTGATGTCAGGAATCCAGCCTTGCACCAAAATGGGATCCACTGACACACGCTTGAAAAAGACTACTCATTCTCCTTTGC